TTCCTTTTTTTTGGCAACTTCCAATTTTCCAAGATTCATACTTCATACATTCTATGTTCTGATTATTAGTAGACGTTTGCCCCATAAGCAAATGAAGGCACTGAAAGCTTTTCTTCATTCTTTTTATCATGCTCAAGTCTACTTTGAGGAGACAGCTCTTCCCCAGTAGTATTTTGAGTGCTTTTCAACCTTAGAAGCTTATATTCTGGCACTATATCTGACAATATTCTGGTGCTAGTCTTCAAATTTCAATATTCCATATTCAGTATTCTGGCACAGATAGTGTTGCACTGATAGTCATAAGTTTTCCAGTGACTATCCATTCAGAAGTAGTCTGTCTCTCCTTCTTCCTACTCTTAGTGTAGAAGCTCAGCTAAACCCTGTCCACCATGGATGCACTTGGTTGGTATTTAAAATGTCACTGGCATAGCTTTCTGCATCACAGCAACAGGCAAGTCACCACAGTATGAAAAGCTGACAGACTAGTGGTATCTGTAACAACTAATAAACACTGTTGATGTAGCAATAACATAGCCACAGAAATATGTAAGTGTAAATACGTAATTGACTGATAAAAGTTTTTTTTCCAAGACAAGCTATTGGCTAGATTTGGCTCATGGGATGTAGTTTGCTAACCTCTGGACTAAATGAAGAGCAACAGCATTTGAGTCTTTGAATCCTACAGATGGAAAAGAGAGAGTGGGAGGATGCACAGTCTTTAGTCAGGCCCTGGTCCTGCATTGAGTAATATTATAATTGGGTCTTCTCTCAAAGCAAACCCTGAGACAAAGATTTAGGTGTAAGTAGTTTACTTGGGTAAACTCAATATTATCAGTCCATGGCCATGGCCTTACTGTGGAACAGGACACCAATTGCTCATAGGTACGTTCAAGCTGAAGCAGAAGAATATTAAAACAAGTTCATATGAATCAAAATGTGGCTTTTGGTAAATTCCACCCAAATTTAGAAACTATGTCAAGAATAGATTTGATGCATTAAATACTAATAATCAAAGGCTACTCAAATTGTGGGAATGACATCAAGAACATCATACGTGAAGAAAGCAAAAGGTCATAAAAAAGACAGGAAGAAAGAAAAGGTCAAAATGGATGTCAGAAGAGACTCTGGAACTTTCTCTTGAGTGCAGAGAAGCTAAAGCAAATGAAATAAATGAGGAAGCAAAAGGATTGAATAGAAAATTTCAAAGGGCAGCTTCAGAAAACAAAGTGAAGTATTATAAAGAAATGTACAAAGACCTGGAGTTAGAAAATCAAAAGGGAAGAGCATGTTCATCATTTTCAAGCTGAAAGAACTGAAGAAAAACTTCAAACCTCGACTTACAATATTGAAGGATTATATGGGCAAAAATAATTAATGATGCAGAAATCATAAAAAAGGGTGGAAGGAATACACAGAGTTACTGTACCAAAAAGATATGGTTGATGTTCAACCATATTAAGAGGTTGTTGTTGTTGTTGTTAGGTGTCATTGAGTCGGTACCAACTCATAGTGACCTTACGCACAGCAAAACAAAACACTTCCCGATCCTGGGCTAACCTCACTGCAGTTGCCACGGTTGAGTCCATCAATGCTCCCACTTTGCCAATCCACCTCATTGGGGGTCTTCCTCTTTTTCTCTGACCCTCCACCTTACCAAACAACTTGTCCCTCCTGACAAGATGTCCGAAGTATGAGAGATGAAGTTTGGCCATCTTGGCCTACAAGGAGCACTCTGGATTCACTTCTTCCAAAATGGATCTGTTGGTTCTTTTGGCAGCTCATTGGCACTTTCAATATTCTCCTCCAACACCATAACTCAAAAGCATCAATTCTTCTACGGTCTTCCTTATTCACTGTACAGTTTTTGCATGCATATGAAGTTATTGTAAATACCATGGTGTGGTTCAGGTGTACCTTAGTCCTCAAGCTGACATCTTTGCTATTCAACACTTAAAACGATCTTGTGCAGCAGATTTGCATAATGCAATACTTCATTTGATTTCTTGACTGCTGCTTCCGTGAGTGTTGCTAGTTGATCCAAGAAGAATGAAGCCCTTGACAACTTCAATCTTTTCTCTGTTGATAAGAATGTTGTTTATTGGTCCAGTGATGAGGATTTTTGTTTTGTTTACATTGAGATGTAATCCATACTTAAGGCTATGTTCTTTGATCTTCATCAGTAAATATTTTAAGTCCTCTTCACTTTCAGCAAGCAAGGTTGTATCATCTGCATATCGCAGGTTGTTAATGAGTCTTCCTACAATCCTGATGTCACGTTTTTCTTTGTATAACCCAGTTTCTCAGATTATTTGCTCAGCATACAGATTGAATAAATATGGTGAAAGAATACAACCTTGTTGCACAGCTTTCTTAATTCTAAAACATTCAGTGTTCCTGTGTTCTGTTTGAACAACTGCCTATATTAAGAGGTAGCATATGATAAAGAGCTGATGGTAATGAAGGAAGAATTCCAACTTTCACTGAAGGCATTATGGAAAAACAAGTATTCAGGAATAGATATGATACAAATTGAAATGCTTCAACAAATGGTTACAATACTGGGGGTACCCCCTTGTCGATGACAAGAAATTTGGAAGACAGCTACCTGGCCAACTGACTGGAGATATCCATATTGTCCACCCAACAGAAATGTGCAAATTATCAAACAACATCATTAATATCATAACACAAGCAAAATTTTGCTGAAGATAATTACAAAATGGTTGCAGCAGCAAATTGACAAGGAACTTCTAGAAATTCAAGCTGAATTCAGAAAAGGACATGAAAGAATGGGTATAAATGCTGATATCAGATGGATTTTGGATGAAAGCAGAGAATAACAGAAACGTATTTACCTATGTTTCATTGTCTATGCAAAGCCAACTGACTGTGTGGATCATAACATATAAGGATAATATTGTGAAGAATGGGAATTCCATAACAATTATACTCATGAGTTGAAGACCAAAGATGTAAGCTTGAGGACTAAGGTGTGCCTGACCCAAGTCATGGTATATTCAATAACCTCATATGAATGCGAAAATTGGGCAGTGAATAAGGAAGACCATAGAAGAATTGATGCATTTGAGTTATGATCTTGGAGAAGAATATTAAAAGTGCCATGGACTGCCAAAAGACCAAACAAATCTGTGTTGGAAGAAGTACTGCCAGAATTTCTGTACTTCTTCTAGCTATGATGGCCAGACTTCATCTCTTATACTTCAGACATATTGTCAGGAGGGACCAGTCACTGATAATATTTGGTAAAGTGGAAGACTGGAGAAAAAGAAGAAGACTTCTAACGAGATGGATTGGCACAGTGGTGGTAGTGATAGGCTCAGGCATAGTGACTGTGAGGTTGGCGCAGAACCAGGCAGTGTTTCATTCTGTTGTGCATAGGATCACTATGAATAGTATTTACTCGATGGCACCTAACAACAACAAAAGTGCTTCCTCAATGATTCCCAGGGCATTTCCTTCCCAGTTCGTCTATCCCCACTGCCCAGGTCAATGATGATCCCTAGGCCCCACAATTCTCTCCATCAGAGAGAGACATAGGAAGGCAACACACTACTAAAATTGTCTGCAGGTGACCTCTGAGGCCAGCCCAGGAATCTGGGTGGAACCAGAGTATTGTCTGCTAAAAGTACTACCTTAAGCCTCTTACTGTTCACTCACTTCCTCTTCAGGGGAAGGACTCTGAATGGGCTCACTTACGTCTTCAAAGAAAGTTCTTGTTTGTAGGACTATTTCTTTGAAGTAGAAGCTCACATCTCGGTCTGTGAGTAGCTCCAGGATCTTTCTCAAAGCCTTCAAGCTTTCACAGACGACTTCGGTGCGGGCGAGGTGATACAAGCCTCTGATGATAGATTCTAACATTATCTGCTTATGCTTCTTCACCTATTTTGAAACAAGGTATCTTAATATCCAAAGTTGTGCTATGCATTCTGGTATAGGGTAGGAGTTCCCAAACTAGGCGATGGAAATTCTGTTAGAGTCATGTTTACTTCAGCCCAGCAGCCACCACTTTAGCAGTTTGTTTGAGCTTACACTTAATCTCTATGAAACTGCTTTCTGTAGTTTATAAATAATTGTTTCAAATCTCTACTTAAATGAATGATTTCCTTATGAACTTCTTTTACCTTATGAGGGGCTCCAAAAGCTGTATTACCAAGACCTCGTATGGCCATTTGCCTCAGAGTGGAATTGGAGTCCCAGGCACTCTGATCCATCAAGATCAGCACATCACGTAGATTTCCGTGCTTCCAAAGGATGGGTTCCTTCATGAGCTGAAATCAACAAACTCCTCCACTTTAGTTAAGGGAGTGCCCTCCCTTCAGGAGAGTGCCAAAGGAATCAATTATTACAATTAGAGAGCAGGGGAAGAAGGCCTTGGGTGAATTAGCAAGTTTGGCAGAAGCTTAGTGCTAGGTGTGAGCAGCCTGTAGCTCAAGGTTATTTGGGGATGCAGACCACAAATCTTACACATGTTTCTAGTATGTTTCTAGTCTAGATGGGCCGATGGGACAGGGGAAATAAGAATCTCTGATGATGTTTCTTTTTTGGATAAGTTGGGATAGTCTCTATACTAGAGTTTGAAGGGTTAATAATAAAATTGTCACTCTTTGAATTTCCCTTTCCCAGATCGAGTCTATACCCATCTCTGTCCTGGAAGGTTGATTTCTGCAGACCAGAAGGCAGGAAGAGATCAAGGTGCACTCTTCTTCTTTTTTCCTTCCTGCTTTGATGCTGTATTTCTGGCAGCAGATGGTTCCCTCCACTACAAAAGCTCCCCTAGAACTTCCTTTCTTCCATAACTCCAGCTCTCATAGAATTCTTAACCCTGAGAGAACTACCCTAAGAGATTGAGAGAGCCTGGTATGATGTCTCTTGCCTCAGAGAAGAACGCAGTGCCAGTTATCCGGTAGTTCTCTGAAGAAGATGTGAGAGACAGGAACAGATGGTCCATGATGTCCAGTATGATTCCATGTTGCCACACTGCCATGCTCCTAGAAAACACAAGGCTCTAATTTTAGCAGAGACTTTCCCCCTAAATAATGGAAGAACTCCTAGTTTATTTACCCACCACACAAATAAATGATCTAAAAGGGAATGCTCAATGGAAAAACATCAATATTGAAAATTATCTATCTAAGTGCCCAATTTAAATGTAACTTGGCTACAGATGTTCACTTATATCACTTTTCTTTTGGGGGTGGGGGTGGGGGAAGAGGATGGCAACTCTTCCCATCTATTCTCACTCCTCTTTACCCTAATTATTCTTTCTCCCTTAGTTATTCTTCCTTATGTTTCTCCTTTAGGAGCATGGTGGCTCTGTAGGATAAGCACTGCACTGCAAGCCACAAGGTTGTTGGTTAGAGGTCAATCAGCCACTATGCAGGACAAAGATGCAGCTTTTTGCTTCCATAAAGATTTACAGCCTTAGAAACCCTACACAGGGTCATTCTAATTTGCAATCAACTCAACAGCACTTAACAATAACATGTCTCTCCCCATATATGTCTGAGAAGAGTCCATTACTCTCTCTGAAATAGACTGTATTGAGTTTTTACTTTTTTTGTTTTCCTCCTTTGGATCTGGTTCTAGAATATATGCCTATTACCTTGCCAGTGCACATACTCCTAGGTGGTGGGTACCAGAACTGCTGAGGAGAGACCATAAGTTGTCCCCTTCATCAGATTCTTTCGCAAGGCCTTCTTTCATAGCTTGGGCTTGCACACACTTCAGGGTTATGGTTGAGAGTCTGAAGGAGACAGCCAATATCACAATATAAGGGAATTATGAATTACCCAGTTCACTCTTTCTGCTCTTCAAGTGCTTCCCAGCTCTGAATTAATGAATGCTGTGCAAGAAAGAACATAGGCAACCTGACTTCACAATTTAGTCTTAGGGTTAGAGGGGAGTCCAGATGACTGGAATAAAAAAATAATGCCACCATATCTTGTCAATTCATCATGAAAAAATAAAGCCTTAAGGAGCTCTGATAGCGTAGTGATTACAAATTGGGCTGCAAACCACAAGGTCAGCAGTTCGAAACTACCAGCTGTTCCACGGGAGAAAGATGAGGCTTTCTGCTCCCCTAAAGATTTACAACCTCGGAAACCCTGCACAGGAGTGCTATGAGTTGGAACTGACTCCACAGCACATAACAACAGCAACAACAAAAGGATAGAAAGTCCAAAGTACTAATGATTTCATTAATTTTAAAACAATTTTTTTTACACTGTAGCAGCTCTGAAATCAGGGTGTATGCTACAATGGAGTGGGTTACAATTGTTTTTGGCCAGAACACAGTTGTGACATAGTTGCCATTGCCTGGCAAGGCACAGCTTTTGATGTGAGATTCTTTATATTGTCATTTTAGTAAAGTTATATGAACTGTTGGAACTATGTATGTTGAGTCTACCTGATGCTTAAAAGGTCTTAAATAAGATCACACTATTGGACCTTGGAATGAAAAGTTATGCAAAAGGATAAAAGAACAGAGCAATGTTATATAGGATCCAAACCTACATCTACTATTTCTAAAAGAACTCCTTTGATAAATATAAAACAAAAATTTCAAATTATAAGAAAACATTGGTTTGTGACTGAGTTGGGAGTCTTTTGTTCCATTCTTAATGGCACACAAACTGATGTCTTCGATTTGATAAGGTCTCAGTGAAACATGGGATTTGTCTTTATTGTTCTTTGTTCACGGGTAGCCTTGAATTTCACAGAAATTCAGGTTTTCTGTGGTCTCATTGAAAAAAAAAAGTGAAAGGAAATGCAATGAGTTCTCTAGGGAAGAAATATAGCCACTTTATTACTTATTTGGTTGTCCTCAGCAACTCTATTGGGTACGGACTCAGAGGAAACAAATAGACATAAAAGTCTGGTATCAAAGTCTTAGGGGAAGTAGAATAGTTTTATTTCTTCCTGGGAAGTTGATGCCATACTGGAGTCCCTAGTGGCACAAACAGGTAAGTACTTGATGACTAGCTGAAAGATTGATTAGTGGTTTGAATCTACCCAGAGGCACACTGGAAGACAGGCCTTGTTATTTGCTTCTGAAAGGTCACAGTCTTAAAAATCCCATGGAGCAGGTCTACTGTCTACACATGGAGTTCCCAGGAGTTGGAATTGACTTCATGTCATCTGTAACAACAACAGCACGAGATGCCATGACAGAGGGTGCTGGCCTTGCCTCTCATACCCCCTTCATGAAGTCTGGATTCAGGGCATTTGTGAAAGGCTCTTTGACAGTGGTGATTTACCTGCAGGGGTCTGCAACCTGCTGCATCTCTCCCTGCTTCATAACTTGCCGTCTCCAGCTCAAGGCGGTAGTGGGCATATTTTGTCCCAGTGCACAGCTAACAAGCTTCAAGAGGAGGGTGAAGAGTTCTGGGTATAGGCCTGAGACAGGGGTGCCTGTTGATACCACTTCATGCATAGCACAGGCCACCTGAGGGGAGAAAGGACCTCCTAGTCAACTGGGTTCCTGTCTTTCAAGGACATCTTCTCCTTGGGCTGATTTCCAAGTTTGTTTTCTTTCCAAACCATTGTTCTCCAAGTTGGACATGCTCAATATAAAAACATAAAAGAAAGGAGAGCAGTTATTTTTCTGGAAATTTCTCAACTCAGACTTTACTTATTTCTCAGAACTTTCATGCTGATGACTCCAAACCCCAGGTGACAACATTTATGTAAAATGTAATGTTTCCCAACATTGGGGTTTTTCAACAAAAAAATGGGTGCTTTGGATATCTTGCAGACTCATTTTGAAGTACAAATATATAGATTTTCTTTGGTTTGCTGAGAATTTTACATCTAAAAATGATCAGCCACAGGCAAAATTAGCTGCCATTTTGCAATATTTATCCAATACAAACTGGAGTTGAGTTAAAATCATAGTATGAAGAGGGACAGAGCATGATTAATGCTACTTCACAAAGTCCCAGGTGGGAACATATCATGGACTAAGACACCATTCTAGGAATGTGATGGGTTGTCCAACTCACTGAAATTGATTCCATTGTGATCATTTCATCTTCTAACTCATTCTCCAGTTTGTCTATTAAGGCTCGCAAGAGTTTACCACTGGAGGCTGGGTTCTCAGCCAGTGACTTCCACAGTGTCTTTGTGTCCCTAGGATAACAAGGCAAGAAATTAATGAGTCATAAGTCTTTGGAATTTGAACCTTACCATTTGACTCATACTGAAACCATACTAAAATTAATCCAAATTGCAAAGGCAGGTGAACAAACTGTTAAAATTGGGGACAATAGAGATGTTTTATTTAAAAATCCAACATCATGATCTTGAGTTACTGAGTTTTTTTAAAGGCAGAAACTGCATGAAGGAACATTCTGGGCAACAAGAAAAAGGCAAATAGTCACTTCCTAATCACTCATTTTGCAAGTAAAATTTTGCTAAAGATCATGCAAAATGGTTGTAACCATACATTGACAGAGAAATTCCAGAGGTTCAAGCCAGATTCAGAAGAGGATATCATTGCTGACATCAGATGGATCTTGGTTGAAAGCTAAGAACACCAGAAAGATGTTTACCTCTGCTTTATTGTCTACGAAAATACTTTTGATTGTTTAGATCATGACATCCTATCGACAACATTGCAAAGAATGAATATTCTGGAACACTTAACTGTGTTCATGAGCAACCTGTACATAGACTAAGTGTCAGCTGTTCAAACTGAACAAGGGAATGACGAATGGTTTAAAATTAGGAAAGGTGTGCACCAGAGTTGTATTCTTTCATCATACTTATTCAATCCATACTTGAATATGCTAGCACATAAAACTAAGAAGAGAGATTATATGAAGAAAAATGTGGCATCAGGATTAGAGGAAGAATCATTAACAATCTGTAATATGCAGATGATACAACCTTGCTGGCTGAAAGCAAAGAGATCACAGCCTTCAGTATGGGTTGCATCTCAATATAAAGAAATAAAAATCCTCACCACTGGACAACCATATAAATGGAGAAAAGATTGAAGTTGTCAAAGACTTCATTTTACTTGTATCAACCGTCAGCACTCATGGAAGCAGCAGTCATGAAATCGAACAATAGTTTGCATTAGGCAAATCTGCTGCACGTGACCTGTCTAAAATATTCAAGGACAAAGATTTCAGTTTGAGGACTAAGGTGATCCTAATCCAAACCATGGTGTTTTCAATAACCTCATATGGATGTGAAAGTTGGACAGTGAATAAGGAAGATCACAGAAGAATTGATGCTTTTGAGTTATGGTGTTGGAGGAGAATATTGAAAGTGCCATGGGCTGCCGAAAGAACAAACAGATCTGTGTTGGAAGTACAAGAAGAATGTTCCTTGGAAGTCATCATGGCCAAGTTCGTCTCTCATACTTCAGGCATATTATCTGGAGAAGGATATCAAGTTTGGTAAAGTAGAGGGTCAGAGAAATGAAAAAGACCCCCAGTGGGATGGATTTATACAGTGTCTGCAGCAATGGCTCAAATGTAGCAACGATTGTGAGGTTGGTGCAGGACCAGGCAGGGTTTCATTCTGTTGTGCATTGGGTTATTATGCAGCGGTACTGACTCATTGGCACCTAACAACAACAATTACGCAATTATTCCTACCGTCTTCTTCTCCCCCACCAAAGGAATCTTTTTACCGTGAAATCTGTGAGAAGTGAAATTCAATGGGATTGTTTTATTTTTATAGTTCTAGAAAGTTTTCCACCTTTGACATGGTACAGTCTTACCCCTTTTGAAAATACCTGTTTTAATGGAAAATATTTGAGTTTTCCATCTCTGACATTCCACCTTACACAGGTTCCTGCTTTCTCAGGTTTTGCTATATTATTCATGGAAGGTATATCTGAAAACCACTTGGGAAAATATTGCATGTGATTCAATTACCAATATTAAAATTATTATTAAGGTGAGACTTAAAAACAAACAAACTTATTATTCTGAATTTAGTGCAGGTTTATGGAGCAAGATCATCAGTTTTAAATTCAACAGACCATACACTTCATGTAATCTCAAAGAGTGCAATGCCCCCCAATGTAACAAAACTTATCATACTTCCTCCGTGTGTTTGTTTTTTCCTGTCTTCTTCTTTTCCAACCATTCTGAATTTTGTCCTTGAGTCAATAATGCCCTTTTGATATCAAATGGTTGACTATTCTATGGTGTGCATACCTCACTAGTGTTGTTGTTCCCCATATACCTACCTATTGCTTCATTGAAAATTGAGCCACAGGACTGAGTTTCATTCTATACCTGAAGGGTTACCAATGGTCATAGCCTCAGGATTCCATCTGTCTCAGTATGACCAATAAGCCTGGTCTTATTTATATATTTTTGAGATTTATTCCACATTTTGTTCCACTCAGTCCAGGACCTTCTAATGCAACCCCTTTTAGAGCAGTCGATAGTGGGAGAAGGGGACCATCTAGTTCTTCTGGTCTTAGAGTTGTGGAGACTGATGTTCACTTGGTTTATTAGTCCACCGTGTAAATTACTTCCAAGCATCTGCTATTTTCATCACTCTTCTCTCCTCTGGACCAGGAGAGACCAATAATTGCACCTTAGATGAATGTTTATGAGCTTTTAGGACACCAGTTACTACTCACCAAAGTAGGATGTAGAATAATGTCTTTGGGGATGATGTTATGTCAATTGAATCTGGTGTCACCAAAGAGTATGATTCTGAGTCCCTATGCCCAGATACTCATTTCCAAGATGAAATGTTATGAACCCTTAATTTTTGCTGGCTTTTCTTCAAATAACAAACCTAATGCCTGTCAGACTGGTTTGTCAGTTTGTCCTACTGTGGTGGCTTGCATATTGTGATTCTGGAAACTATGTAATGGGTATTTCAAATACCAGCAGGGTCACCTTGTACAGTTTTCAGGTGTACAATTTTCATATGGGCTTCTAGACTAAGACAGACTAGGAAGAAGGAGAGATGGACTACTTCCAAATATTTAGCCACTGAAAACCTTATGAATAACAGGGAAACACTGTCAGATAGGACCACAATATGGAACATTGGAACATGATGAAAAGTACCAGAATATTATCAGATATAGTGCCAGAAGATGAGCTGTTCAGGCTGGAAGGCACTCTAAATAAATTGAAAGACCTGCATCCTCAAATTAGAGTTGACCATGATGGTGCAAATGGAGTAAAGCGTTCAGGACCTTAATTTGTTAATGGAGCACAGCTCAAAACGAAGGCACAGCTATAGACAGTGATGAGTAATTAGAACATGGAATATACTAAGTATTAATATAGTAAAATTGGAAATTGTTAAAAATGAAATGGAATGCATAAACATTGATATGCTAGGTATTAGTGAGCTGAAATGGACTAGTATTGGCCATTTTTAATCTGACAATCACATGGTTTACTATGCCAGGAATGACAAATTGAAGAGGAATGTCTACTAATTAATCATCAAAGAGATAATTTCAAGCTCTATCTTGAAGTATAACGCTGTCTATGATAGGACAATCTCTTTGATACCCCATGAGAGTAAAGTTTT